ACCGAAAAGGGATTCACCAACCAAACCAAGAGCCACCAGATTCCTTGAAGTCAGCAGCTTGGCAAGCGATTTGTAAACCTGTGTGGAATCCAGTCCACTCAGTGAGTTCACGCTGGTCGTTCTACCCAGGGCTGCGCACCAAGCCTCCCACACAGGCCCCATCCATGCGCCGAGTGGATGCGTGAGCCATCCGAGTTATACTTTTAAATGGAATCTATCAAATGCGATGATTTTGTGAACAATGGGAATTATACACAACTCATTTTTATAGCCTAAAGCTAAGAGAATGACTTTGAATCAATAAATCGAGGTTTTCACAGTGACTTTATATTTTTGTTTTCTTCTAAATGTTCAGCGTATCCTTTAAAGATGTTTTCATGGAGGGGCTGGTGTTGTGCCTGCAATACTGGCATCCAACATAAGGGGGTTGGTTTGAGTCTGGGCTGCTCCGCTTCTGATCCAGCTCCCTGCTAACGCGCCTGGGAAAGCAGTGGAAGATGGCCCGAGTGCTTGCACCCTTGCACCCACATGGGAGACCTGGAAGAAGCTCTTGGCTTCTGTTGCAGCCATACGGGGAGTGAATCAGCAGACGGAGGATCTCCCTCTCTGTGCCCCCCTCTCTCTGTAACTCCAACTTTCAATAAATGAATAAATCTTTATTATCTTTTAAAGATTTTAATTTATTTGAGAGAGGTAGATCTATAGATACAAAGAGAGAAAGACAGAGAGAAAGGTTTTCCATCTGCTGATTCACTCCCAAAATGGCTACACAGGTGCAGGGGCCTAAGCACTTGGGCCATCTTCTGCTGCTTTCCCAGGCCACAGCAGAGAGCTGGATGGGAAGAGGAGCAGCCGGGACTTGAACCGGTGCCCATATGGGATGCCAGCACCGCAGTGGGGAGGCTAAGCCTGTTATGCCACAGTGCAGGCTCCAATAAACAAATCTTTAAAAAAGAAGTGTTTTCTTGGTGTTTCCTCCCTTTCTTTTCAAATTGTTCATACATAACATAAAATTTACCATTTTAGCCAATTTTTAAAGTGTACAGTTCAGTGGCTTTTAATACATTCACATGATTGTACAACCATCACAACGCTCCCTCCACAGAACTTGTTCGTCTGCCCGCTCCGAAACTCTGTCTGCACTGAACAGGAACTCCCTGTCCAACCCCAAGCCTCTGCCCCACTCTTCTACTTCCTGTCCCTGAATTCTCAGACACCCCAGATAAGTAAGCCACACAGCACTTGTTCTGGGTCTAGCTCATTTCCCTTATGGTATTTTCTTTAAAGAATTATTTATGCATTTGAAAGGCAGAGTGAGAGAGAGAGAAAAAGAGAAACAGAGAGTGATCTTCTACCCCCTAGTTTACTCCCCAAATGCCCACAATGGCCGGAGCTGGTCCAGGCAGAAGCTACAAGCCCACAATTCCATTCAGGTCACCCGGTGAGGGTGGGGCCCGAGCTCGTGAGCCATCAGCACTGCTTCCCCAGGCCCACTGGCAGGAAGCTGGACCGGAAGTGGAGCAGCCGGGACTCAAACCTGTGCTCCAGTTTGGGTTGCAAGTGGCAGCTTACCCCACTGCGGCACAACACCAGATCCTTAATTTTCCAAATTCCTTTGCTGTCAATACCAGAATTGAGGCCAGGAGGTCTGGGTTAAGGCCCTGGTTCTGCAGAAGACAGATGACCTCAGTCTGTGTGCCTGTTACTGCTGAGTCTCCGGTGATGAGGTGCCAGGCCAGAGTGTACGGGTGCATTTAGTTCAACCAATCACCAACTCCGATTTAAAACAAATAAACTGAAAGTGTCCCAGGGCACTGCCTCAAGGGAAGTGGCGAATGTGCTAACCAAAGACAAAGCTCGCAGGTCTGACTTGTGGAGGCACCTGGTGGGGAGGGGGGGTCCTGTGGTAGAATTTGGTGCACCTGCATGAGCCAAGCAGCGCTCCTCCAGGCTGACAGGTGCCGTGGGCCAGAGCCAGCCTCCTGCCATAGCTCAGGAAGCTCATCAAGTCAAAGGCAGGAGCTGGGACAGAAACACAGGTCCTGTTTTGCACTGGGGAGACATCAGCACTGTTTCTGGAAAGTAGGCAATGCGGGTTCTGGGATAAGCAGCGCAGCAGGGCGAGGATGTGCAGCGGGGTCCTGATGGGAGAGACACACAGCCTGGCTGCTGAGCCCAGGACAGAGCAAGGGCGAAGGGGTGGCCCGGGGCGTCTGTGTCCCCAGGGCTCAGGAGAGGAAAGAGACCGCCCCTCCCACCCCAGGCAGAAAAGGGTGGGTTTGCAGGGAATCAGATCTGGGCTCCCACATTGTGTTAATTAACAGAGCTGAGATCCGCCAGCGAACGCCCAGCAGGGGCGGTCATCTGCTTGATAGAGGGCCCCAACTTTCCTGACGGAGTCTCAAGTGCACGAGCCGTGAAATTACTTCGGGAAAAAAAAAGAAAATGGCAAAGACAGCCGCAGAGGACACGCGCCCGCGCCTGTGCACCCGAGGAACGCTCGCCGTGCCGCTCTGCTTCTGGAAGGAAACAGCCTCATTAGAGACCGGAGATGAAAAAGAAACACTCGGCCCCCCTCTCTCCTGGGAAAGCAGAGGGTGCTAATGAAGAGATCCCTGAATCAGCCACAGTGCGCAGCACTCACCGTGCGCTTCGCGGCGTTCTACTCACACGACCCCACGAGATCCTCAGGACACTCGCTACCCTCCTCTCTTCACAGACGAGCGCACCGTGGCCAAGCAACTCGTGCAGAGCCACACAGCAACGCAGAATCGCAGCAAATATTCCCTTCCTTCCTGAGACGACTTGTTGTTGTCGTTGTTGCAAACAGCCTGAAACAGGGCTGGCGAGGATGCCAGACACCATGCGGCCAGGGACGGCTTTTCTCCACTCCTCTGCCTTGCTGTCTGCAGGGGCACTGCCCGCTGCTCTCACGACTCTGCCATAGCTCACGGGCATGTCCGGTGGAGGTCTGGTTCCAGTTCATGCTGTCTGCACTGAGCTCACACATGCATCTTTTGCCAATGCACGTCTGATCTGCAACTGAAAATCCTGCTACGGCTGCCCACTGCCTTTAGGAGGAAATCCCAGCTCCCCTGTGCCGTCCGGCCTCTGGTGACCTGCCTGCCGTTTCACTCTCCAGGCTTCTCTCACACTCTTCCCTGCCGCCCCCTGTGTCTTGCAGATCTGTGAACGGGGAGTCCCCCGCTCACTGGGTCTCTCGAGTCTTCGGCTTTCTTACCCCGTGCCTCCACTCTCTGCCCGGTAACCCCGCTGAGACTTGCCGAGCCCACCCAAGGGCCGCCTTCCTCGGCACAGCCTTCCAGCCACAGCCAGACTTCGGCTGCCTTTCTGTTCCCCACATCGCGGTGGCTCCGCTCTGTCACTTGAAGTGCTTGCACTAGAAACTTAACCCCCAAGGCCACAGCACTGAGACGTCAAGAGGGGGCGAGGTGAGGACGGCGCTGCCCCCCATGGATTAACATGGGTATTGCAAGAGTGCGGCCTTTGAGCCCCTCCCACACTCTCCCGTGCGATGCTGTCCACCCATGTGACGACACAGCACGGAGGCCCTCAGCAGGTGTGACCTCTCCGTGCTGGGCTTCCCAGCCTCTACGATCGCGAGCCAGTACATTTTGGTGCACCATAAATGACCCACTCTGTGGTTCTGTTATCGCAACATAGACTAAGACACGAATCTACCTATATTCTAGCTCTCTGCACACTGTCTTGCACTGGTCTCTTTATTCACTGCCTCCCAGTTTGTCTGCTCGTCCGTCTGTCCATCCGTCCGTCCATCCACCCATCCACCCATCCGTCCACTCACTCACAAATGGAAGCTCTGTTGAGAGCAGGAACCACATCACTTCTGATTTGATCCCCGGGTCTCCAGCTTGTTGTAGGTGTGGTCACAGGGAGCAGCAGACCACCCTGGGAACTCGGTCCCACCCCAGACCTACTGGGCGGGGGGCAGCAATCTGCTTGACCAGGCACTCCAGTTTGAGAGTCACCGTGCCGATACAATGCTGTATTCTGTAAATGTGGGACAGGTGTGTGAGTGCACAGTTGTCACTAGAAACCAGCCACCCGGGGGTCTCTGGAGACCTCAGGCTATGCCCCCCGCCCCGGGGAGATGCTCAGACTCTCCTGGACTGGCGCCCCTGCCCCGCCTAGCTCTGGTGCTGCTGACAGCTGTCTCTGTGACTTTTGGGACAAATCGAATCAATTAATCTTCAGGCCACACGGCCATTTAGAAAGGGAGGAGAGGGCTCGGCGCTGTGGCACAGCGAGTGGAGCTGCTTCCTGGGGCCTGGCATCCCATGTGGGCACCGGCTCAGGTCCCAGCTGCTCCACTTCCAATACAGCTCTCTGCTAACGTGCCTGGGAAAGCAGCGGAGGAGGTCAAAGGCACCTGCACTCACGTGAGACACCCAGAAGTAGCTCCTGGCTCTTGGCTTCCCATTGGCTCAGCTCTGGCCATTGTGGCCATTTGGGGAGTAAATGAGCAAATGGAAATCTCTCTGCTTCTCTCTGTCTCTGTAGCTCTGCCTTTCAAAGAAATAAACAAATCTTTAGAAAAGCAAAAAAGAAAGAAAGAGATGAGACCCAGTCCTGGCTCTTACTGCACGACAACTGGGTGCTCTCTGCTCCTCCAGCCCTCTTGTGAGAAGGGACGACCTGCCTACCTCATGGGCTGGGGGTGTGCCGGTCAGACAGGACCATCTGTACGAATGCACTTCTTCAGCTTTAAAGCCCTGTCCGCATATTAGTTACACCTGAAGAAGTGTGGTACTCACCACTCGCTTGGCCTAGATATCAAACATGGCAGCCTTTTTAATCCTTCAAGTTAAATATTTTTTTTGACAGGCAGAGTGGACAGTGAGAGAGAGAGAGAGAGAGACAGACAGACAGAGAGAAAGGTCTTCCTTCGCTGTTGGTTCACCCTCCAATGGCCACCGCAGCCAGCGCATTGTGGCCGGCGCACCGTGCTGATCCGATGGCAGGAGCCAGGTGCTTCTCCTGGTCTCCCATGGGGTGCAGGGCCCAAGCACTTGGGCCATCCTCCACTGCACTCCCTGGCCACAGCAGAGAGCTGGCCTGGAAGAGGGGCAACCGGGACAGAATCCAGCGCCCCGACCGGGACTAGAACCCGGGGTGCTGGTGCCACAGGCAGAGGATTAGCCTAGTGAGCCGCGGCGCTGGCCCAAGTTAAATATTTCATGGACCAACGCTACCAACAAGTTTTCCCATGGATGCTAAAGAGCACAGACGTATCCATCAGCTTAGAGTGTGGATCAGCAGTTTTTCTGTAAAGGGACAGGCAGTAAATATTTTAGGCTTTAAAGGCTATATGGGCCCTTTTTGTAAATTCTGAATTGACATGCAGGAGGTATATGTTTTTACGGGATACAGTACGATACTTCAACACACATACACGGTGTTAACTGGTCAGACCAGGCAAGTAGCCTTCCACGCCCTTCTCTTTGCTCCTCCCTCTTCCAGTTATTTGTACAGAAGACGACACACTGTTGTCAGCTTCAGTTACCTCCACCGTTCTCAGAACACTAGAACCCGTCACCTTCGTCCACTGGGTTTTGATGCCCAGTCTCCAGCCTCTCCCTTCTCTCACGCCCCACCCTCTGCAGCCTCTAGAAGTCACAATTCTAAGCTCAGATCAGCTATATGATCACAGAGTCTCTGCTCTCTGCTCTGTCATTGCAGTGCAAAGCACAGTGGACAAGACGTAAGCCAACAGGTGCACCCAGATTTGGCCCACGAGGGGACATGGTCGGCTGACCTCTGGCTCACAGAACCTGGGAGTCGGAGGTGGCAGACTCCCTCCCTCCCTTCCCTGGCCCCATTCAAAACATTCATTTCTTTGGCTAGTTCATTATAAAGAAACAGCCTATCAACTATTTTATCTCTAGTTTATGTATCCTGGAGGCATGAACCCTAGAATAGCATGACTTGTAAACAGCTCTGCTTCAACTTCACAACTTGAGTTATGTGGTGTTCATGAGAGAAGTTTTATTGTAACAAATGACATGCCAAGGTCTAGTACCATAGAGCAAAACCAGCTCCCACGCAAACAGCTTCTCTCATCTGAGTTAGAATACAAGGCATTTTATCAAGTGTCAGCATGCGACACTCATTGCAACTAACGTCTGTCTTTCTAGGAGGAAATCAAAGTTGTGCAAACGCGATCCCTTGGACCTAGCGCATGCAAGTACGTGTAGGATTTGTATAAGAACCCCTGTGCCACGATAAACAAACTCCGACTCCACTCTCCGTGGGATGGGGGTTGAACTGGTTGTTTTATTCCATTAGAAACACTTGGCATTCATGGGAGGCAGCCGGAGTCACCACTTTCACAGCCAACCCTGGAGCACTCCGGGAGAGCGGATTAGGGGCTTAGTCTCGTGCAGCGTCCGCGTGAAGAGCGCAGGGCAAGCTAGTGAGCGGAAGAGGGAGGAGCTTCCGGCACCTTCAGGAGGCAGCTTCATGGGGCCAAGATGGAGAAGAAGCCAGAACACAGAAGACGAAACCACAGTGAGAAAGGCTGCAGCAGAAATAGCCCCCAAACGCTGCCAGAAAGCAAAGCAGACTTCAGAGTGCTGGTGAGGGCTTCTGAGACTCTGCCAACGTAACATTTAACAAGCAGCGTGCACCGAACACGTGCGAGCTGCAAAATGCCAGGGCGGAAAGAGCTGGGCGGCCACGGCATCTGCCTTGTGATCCTGCACAGCCCAGCGTCAGGAAAACAGATAGGAAACAATAAAAAGTGCAGCACAGCGCCTCGGCGCCCTGGGGCAACAGGCGTCAGTGTTAACGAGGATCCAATGCAGCACACACATCTTGATGCCCTGACACATCTATTACAATGGAATCTATCTGTGGAGCCTGTCAAGGCAGCTTCAGGACATCTGAAAGCCCCATGCACACCCCAAAGGGACCCAGAGGGGTCCAGAGCAGGCAGAGGGGGGCCCTACTGCCACTGCTGTGGTAGCGCACACCTCTACCTCTGGGGGTTCCATAGCAGGGAGAGGGGGGCCCTACAGCCACAGCCGTGGTGGTGCACACCTCTGCCTCTGGGGGTTCCACAGCAGGGAGAGGGGGGGCTCTACAGCCACGGCCGTGGTGGTGCACACCTCTACCTCTGGGGGTTCCATAGCAGGCAGAGGGGGGCCCTACAGCCACAGCCATGGTGGTGCACACCTCTACCTCTGGGGGTTCCATAGCAGGGAGAGGGGGGCCCTAGAGCCACTGCTGTGGTAGCACACACCTCTACCTCTGGGGTGGCCCCTCTGCTGTCTGAGAGGTGACGGAGCTGCTGTCACTTCTGGGCAGAGGGGCAGGTGCACCACCTGGAGAAGTAATCTAGCTTCTCAGGAGGGCCCAGGTTCAGCTTGCAGGGAAGTGAATACAATGGGGATAAACTCCTCATCCTGCTCATTGCCTAGGGTGCCCATGGGCCCACAGGATGGCCCGCCAGCGACTGCATCCCTGCGTGCACTAAGGAACCAGGGGGTGAACAGACGTGTTTTGGGGAGAGTTCTTGATCCCTCTGCAGAAACTCGGATCTTCGCCACTGCTCACCACTGCTTTCTTCCTGAGGCAACAGGGAGCGCCAGAGACGGGGATTTGCCATAACAAGACCCAAGCTCATGATGGCTGAGGGTGGACCGTGCTCCCTAAGTGCCCCGTGTAGACTATCCCACTCCGTGCTTCCACAGCTACTGGACAGAGCTTCCATTATCGTTATGTCCGTTTTATAAAGAGAAAACCGAGACACAGAAATGGAGGACCTTGCCCGGGGTCACGGTCAGCAAGGGGCAGAGACGCGATTCCGACCACAGGGGCTTGCACTGGTGAATGAGGGCGCCATTCTCTGTCTGCAGCAGCTGTGCCCCTCGACACGGGCGGGTGGCAGCTCTGACACCTCCGGGGTCCTGCTCTGACCGGCCACGCCATGTCCACCCTGGAAAGGGCCCTTGACACGTTATCAGATTAAATCAGAAAGTAGCCTACCGTGCGCATTCACAAACAACAAGTGAAGCTCGGCTTCCAGGATCACACAGCATCTAAGCAGAGCGGGGCCACCTGGTCCCTCTGACAGCAGACTGCTGTCTGTGTCATCGCCAGCCGTAGGAGCGACGGCCCTGCTGACCTCCCCGGTGGGAGCCTCCGGGAAGGCCAGGGCACCACGCGCTGGTCTCGGCCTTTTGCTTTGGCAGTCTCCCAGACAGCCGCAAACCTGGGGCAAACGCCATTGATGCCGGCCTCACAGAGGGGAGAGGCTGTGTCCTCACCTCCCGCGCGGGGCCAGCCTGCCGCCTAGAACAGCTCCGGTCCTGCCAAGGGCAGTGCTTCCTCTTTACAGGAGTTACATGAAAAACAAACAACTAAGTAGGATTCTCTCTCCTTTCTACTCCTTCTGCTTATAACCCAGAACCCTTCACGGACGCAGTGCTGTCAACACTCAGGGCTCTGCGTGCTTCGGCTGCCCAGGCCTTGCCCTGGCACGGCTAAGTGCCTGTAATAACAGCTTGGTTGGAGCTGCGATAATCACACACCCACACTTGCCAAGGCTGTGACATCTGTGTGCACTGGTCTGTCCGTCTCGCTCATTCCACATCTGTCTACCTGTTTGGTGTCCAGGAAACTGCTCAGAGAGCGACGGCGCTCCTCCTGCTCTTTGCTCCCTCCCCCCACGAGGCTTCTTCGTCTGCACACGGGAGCAATGGCAGGGCAGGACCCCGCCCCGCCTTTCCCTGGGACCTAAGCACAGCACAGCGGGATTCTTGCATACCGAAGGACCCAACAAACGTTTGCTGTTCTTGGAAATGAAGAAAAAGTATCCCCAAGGCTGGCGTTCCTGGTTTTGGAAAAAATCCTCCCAGATCTGGAGACGCAGCAAAGGAGGTTTTGGGGGTCTTTTTCCTGTAGTGCCGGGAGACGGCTACCTGCAGTTCTCCGGGCCTTTGGGGGGGGGTGCTGTGCCTTGTTTGGTTTGCTATTTCCTATCGATTAGGGTATTTGCAGCTCATCAGGGTACATGTTAATGTTGTTAAACTGCCAGTGGAGAACGGATTCTTTCCAAAGTCAGGCAAACGAGTGTGGTCCTGTAGAAACAGAAGCAGAAGAACCCTGTGGAGAGGTGACCTGTGTGCCCGCGGCTTCTGCCCCACGGCGCACGGGCCGTTTTATCGGATTCTCGCCTATTTCAAGTGCTTCCCCCACGGAATACGTAAACTCCTGCTCCTTCCCGGCCTCTGAGTCAGCCTGACCATCTACTGCGCCTCCACTAAGGAATGAGTTGAATACAATTTCGAAACGTGGCCGTTCTCCTTTTGTCCCGAGCCATGTTTTTTTAGTTTTTGAAAATCATTCCTTGACACTGGGTAGAATTAGAGGATGGAGGCTTTCAGACTACAGCTGCCCTAGAAAACCAGTTCCCCATTACAGACTTGGGCCTTTAATGGCCACTGGTTCATATTTTGTCTCCCTAACAGTGCTGCAGGCTGGCAGGATCCTTAGCCCTTGAGAGAAGGTTAAATAGAGTGGGGGGATAACTGGTTACCATCTGGGCTGGGACACAGAGCACAGGCCAGGGCCGTGACCGCCACACACCCGCTGTGCCTGTGTTGTCCCCCTGGTGACTTCCCTACATTTAGAGCGCTCCCCTGCCCTCCTACTCACACCGCAAGGCCCAGCTCAAAGTCTGCTTTCTCCTGACGCTCCCCGTGGCCCCAGGAAGCGCTGGCTGAGCTCTTGATATGGAGATCCTCGCTGTCGAGAGAACTTGAAACACCTCTGCCCAAACTTGCACGATAGACTCTGATGTAAATCTTCCAGCTGCCTACAATGAGAGTACCGGCTAAAGATGCTATTCTGGGGAAAGGTGGGTGTATTCCCAGCCTGGAACAAAGAGGCGGAGACAGGAGGTTCTACGAAAGAAAAGACAGTCTTCGTAAAGGAAGGGCAAAACTGACCCAAGCTAAGAGGCCATGGACGTCCCAGGGCCCAAGTTGAAGCAAAGGGAAAAGGCAGAAAAACGAAGTGTACTGGAGAAATAAGCCGGGAGAGGGCACTGCTTGGAGCTCAGAGAAGGGCGAACTGAAGACAGAAGAGGTGGGGGACACAGAAGCTTCTCCGTACTTCTGATGTCAGTCTCAGCTTGGATGTTCCTCTATTCTTTTCATCCAGTAAATAAATGCAGGAAAGATAAAAGCTATAAGCAGTGAGCCCCCCAGGCTTGATCTGAGACTAGAGCTGGGAGGATCGCCACAGCAGGCAGTGGCAGACCCACAGAGCCTCACGCCATGCGCCTGTGCCTGTGGCTGCCACTGCACACAGACCCCGTGAGCTCAGAATCCGCTCAGGTTCCTCTTGGTATTCCCAGAACTCAGTACACAGTTGGACACACAGCGGGCGCCTTGCTTTTCCAGTTCCTGAATGTGTCTTTTGGTTGCCCACTAAGTCTTCTTTTCACATAGAAAATACTGCCACACTTATTTTTTAGGTGTAACAAGGAAGGAAAGAACAATGAAAATCTCAAGACTCAAAATAAGACATCACTTAATAAAGAAAGAAAAGCAGAGAATCCCTGGGAGCAGAGGAAGGGAGATGCAGGTTACAGAGAGGCTGCGATGTCCCTCACCCCCAGTGTAGCTCAGCGTGCAAGCAGAGGCGGCCAACAAATCATGGCCTGCAAACCACCTCCCAAGAATTGGCAGACAGGTGTGAAACTAGTTACCCAGCAGAGGCCCAGAGTGTCCAGCAAACTCAGTGAAAGGCGGGCACCCTCTGAGGACACTTGTGAAATAGGGAACATTCACTTAGCACAAGGTCTGAGGAACAGACACGACCCTACTTGCACGGCTGTCCCTCAGTGTCTGTGGGGGCCAGTTCCAGGTACCTCCCCCAACACCAAAATCCACAGACGCTCAACCCCTGTGTAACATGCGTAGTGTCTGCAGATAGTAGGAGTAAATTCTCCTAGACGACTTCAGTCATCTCTTCACTTCAAATTGCTCGTGGAAAAATGAAATTAAGAGCTAAATTTATTCTGGTGCAGAAAATTTTGAAATTCATGCATAGTTTTTCATAATATGTGTTTCCCATAAACTGTTTGAAGCCCCCATGTATGCATGGATTACAAAATTATTTTGCATCAAAAGAAACTCATTATGTTTAAAAAGATTTTACTTATTTATTTGACAGTAAGTTAGAGACAGAGAGAGACAGACAGACAGAAAGGTCTTCCATCCGCTGGTTCACTCCCCAAATGGCTGTAATGGCTGGAACTAGGCCAATCCAAAGCCAGGAGCCAGGAGCTTCTTCCGGGTCTCCCTCATGGGTGCAGGGGCCCAAGGACTTGGGCCATCCTCCACTGCTTTCCCAGGCCATAGCAGAGAGCTGGATTGGAAGAAGAGCAGCTGGGTCTCGAACCGGCACCCACAGGATGCTGGAGCCACAGGTGGAAGCTTAGCTTACTGTGCCATGGCACTGGCCCCAGAAACTCGTATTTTAATGCTAGTTTTCTACGAATGCTTTAAGTACCTTCATATACTACTTAATACAACATCATTGCCATGTAAATAGTTGTCATGGTATATTTTTATAACTAATGACAAGAGTCCACACGTTCCATAGGGATGTAATTTTATCTTTCTGAATATTTTCGACACATGGTAGGTTGGATCCCTGGACACAGATCCTATGAATGTGGAGGGATCCTTGCAGTCTCGTGGCGTGCCTGGAAGAGCACCAGGCTGGGAGGCAGAGGCCCGAGCTTTCGTCGTGTGCCTGCCCTATCAGCTGACATATTTGGGCATCGCGTTTCCCATTAGGTCCCCATTCTGGCAACCAAGCCCAGGGTGGCTCAGGTCAGGGATGGGCTGAGGTCCCAGGAGGTGACCACAGCCAAAGGCCAGGCATACGGGGAAGCCCTCGCCCTGGCCTGGGCTAACTTGAGGTGAAGCGAGGTCCGATGGTGACGCAGGGTAAGCAGCTGAAGGAGCAAGAACACAGGAGGCCCGCCAGCACACAGGAGACAAATCTGGCCAGAATGTGCATTAATGGGAAACCTTTCCAAATTTAAACAGAACAGCGAAGGCAGCAAGCAGGGGCTGAATCAAGGATGCCCACAAATTCAGAGCACACTGATTGCACCGCGCAGCCTGCGAATTCGGGCCACCTGCGGAGCTGGCGCTCTGTGGCTGATGAGGATGCCCTTTGCGCCATCTCTCTGCCCTCCGGGGAAATGTACAGTCACAAACACCAGGCTCAGTGACTTGCTTCTGCTAGCCCCAGCTCTGTGATCTTGGAGAAGTCAGGGCACTTTCCGGGGTGTCAGGTTCTCAGTAGATGAGAGGGTTGGACGACAGCCACCCGTCACCAGCCAGCTCTCTGAGCTCCTACCGGAGGCCATCAGGGCACGGCTCACTGGAGCCTCCTGTGCACCCCCTGCAGCTTGCAGAAAGCATGGGATTCTCCAGCAAACCACGTTTCTGCTCCCTGCCTAATAGTCTAATTTGCCTCCCCCGTGCTTGTACAGATGGTGCTGTGAAAAGACTACATTGGTGTCTTAGGCTCCAAACCTGGAGGACAAAGGATCCCCACTGTGGTAGGAGGAGGCATGGGGAGTGATGGAGGAGGTGAGAAAGAAGTGAAGAGGAGGGAGAAGGGCCGATCCCCACGGATTCCTGAGTCCTGGCTCCTGCACCTTCCCGGAGTCCAGCGCACAGGATCTGGGGACAGCAAAACAGGGATCCCTCACCCACACTGTATCCAGAGGGCCAACGCTTGAGAGAAGAGACGGCTTCCTGCTTTTCAAAATGCGTATCCAGAATGTAACTCTGCCCTCTGCTTAGGCTTGCCTCAAAGTTCTAGACTGTAAATGTCAAGCAAAGACCCCAAATATCCTGAAGTCGGCCTGTGATGCTACTCAGCTCTGGTTAAGCCTCCTTGGCAAGTCCCTGGTGTACTGAAGAGCCCCCGCCAAACGCCTGTGCACCCCTCACTCCCCAAACCATCCCACTCCAATCTCCTGGCTCGGGAAATGACCCCATGCAGAGCCTGGTGCAGCCACGCTGGGCCTCTTCCATTTCCCCTGCGGCCCAGTTGCCAGGGAGCCGATATTCCAGTTCCAATCTTCTGAGTCCCTCACATCCCAGACCTATGGAAGTGGGGGCAGGACACCCCCACTGCTGACCCTGGCTGGCACCGCAGTTCGCATAGAAGGATTTGTAATCATGATTCAACTTGCTAATTATCGATACAGAGATGATCAGCCTTCAGGTGAGAACAGCAGGGACAAAGACTAAACGACTTGTTTAGGGTCACAGGAGCAGCCACTGACAGAGCTGAAAGCAGGAACAGGCACCTCACTCCCGGCTCACTCACAGCTGAGCCGGATGGACGCTCACTCCTTGGCTAGAGGACCAGCTCATGGTCACTGTCAGAAAATGCCTTCTGAGTTCTGAACTGCCACGCTACGGAGAAACTGGAACACGGCTCATTCGGAGTCGGAGAGCAGCACTGTGTGAGGTCTGTCTGTCTGAGGGCTCGCTGGAGCGGCCAGGCCCGGGGAAGTGACACTCCTCTGGCTGAGCCGCCAACAGAGGGGTGGCTGCAGTACAGGCGCCCTCACGACCCGGATGTCAGAGGAAGCCCAGACACTACCGGGAGGAAGCGCTTGTCTAGGCTTCCGAGGCCGCTCTCCAGTTTTTTTGTCTTGGGGGAAAGAAGACAAATGAAGCTCATCCCCATGATTCTGGAGAGAAAACTGCGGGGCTCATCACTGCAGGTACCCATGGGGGTTCACGTTCCACAGCAGCTGTAGCTTTCAACGAAGGAAGCTGACACCACGGTGACAGCGATGGTGGTGGTGACGCTAGTCCCACATTTCTTTACCCCTGCTCAACCCTGTTCACAGGACATCCAAGGAGTTCAATCTGATGCCATTTTGTCCTCTGGGCGCTCTCCTTCCCTTCACTGAGTGACAGCGATCCCCACTGTTTCAGTGCCACTGTCCCCGCGCAGCACTGACGGAGACTTCAACCCCTGAGTTACAGCGACTGGGGAAGCCGTCCCCACTTCACTCTCATTTTCACTCCTGCAATACGGACCTCCTTCAGGATCTTTCCCTTGGTGTGCCATGGACTTCCCACAGCCTGCTACGTGCTCATTACGCCAACTCCGTGTCGAAGAAAATCCCCATTCGCTGAGGCTTAGCCCACCTTTCTTTTGCGTGAGGTCCCATCTGGAGTGGCTTCTTGTCTGCGGCCAGACAAGGCTGTGTTGAAGGCAGTGATCGGCCTACGGGCTGCACCTTCCCTAGCCCCAATCTGCCCCCGCCCCCATCTCCTGAGGATCTGCTTCTTCCTCTAGCGTGTGACAAGCATGGACCAGCGGGGCCCTGCCGCTCACTCTGGCCTTCAGGATCTGTGAGTGAGGAGGGGGCTGAACAGTTAAGGGCCGCCTTCGGGAAACACACTCAGGAGGGGCGGATGGGAGCCGGAGGCGGCGACGGACAGCTGCTGGGGGTTTGCTCCTTTTGGCCTTTGGGAACAGAGGTGTATTGTCCTCTTCCTTTGGACTTGGGACAGCAAATAGGTGAGGCACGCCGGCCCAGCCGTGTCGCTCTTCCCCTGGTGGATGCACGCACCCCTCCTCCACCCGAGCTGCGCCCCACTCTTCACCCCTCCATGCACCATTGGAGGGGGTTATCAAGAGCTGAAAGGGGCCCGACCTCTCAGAGGTGTTCCTGTCTTGCAAGGCACGGCCAGATGCACAGCTGGGAGGATCCCTACATCGCCATTATGATCCGCAGGGTGAAGATAATTCTATTACCAGTAATAGTATGTTGCAAATATTCCATCCCCACCTGTTAATTAGTGCCACCCCCACCCCTCTCTTCTCGAACATGAAGCAACACTGTGTAATCATGGCATTTTTGCGGGCGATGCTGTTTATTCTATGTGGTATTTCAGTGGTTTGTGTGGGAGAAGGAATTAATTATAGCTCTCTGGTTCCAACCTGCTCCCAACCCCCACCCTGCCCTCTCTCCCATTCGCCCAATACAGAAAGCCACGTGCGTATAGATAAGCAGAGTAAACACACAGTGCCTACGTGGCGTTGGTGAGGTGGAGCAGGGCTCTGTGCCGGGAGCACGGAGCTCGGGCACAGGGCTCAGGTTCCGGCATCTCCACACACGGGCGGGGGGCCTGGGGAGACGACTGGATGTCGCTGGGATCAGCTTCCCCGCCCTAAGAAGCGAGCAGCAAGCCAGCTCTGCTCTTGCTCTTCGCTCGTGAGAGGCTCACAACCGCGTCGCTCTGAAAACTGCAATGCTGTGCTGTGAGGCTGAACTCGACTGTCCTACGCTTCTGTGGACTGTTCTAGAACACACTGTAGGCAGCTTCACCTGGACCCCAAGGAAGCCATCAGAATGACTCGGTGCTAACAAGTGGGTGGTGAGGGGGCCACGCAGTGTTAGGACAAAGTGATAGGACCCAGGAGGGGACACACGGGGTGAACAGAAGAGCAGGGGGTTGTGGGTAGACAGAGAAACTTCAAGAACGAAAGGCCAGGCCGGCGCTGCGGCTCACTAGGCTAATCCTCTGCCTTGCGGCACCGGCACACCAAGTTCTAGTCCTGTCAGGGCACCGGATTCTGTCCCAGTTGCCCCTCTTCCAGGCCAGCTCTCTGCTGTGGCCAGGGAGTGCAGTGGAGGATGGCCCAAGTGCTTGGGCCCTGCACCCCATGGGAGACCAGGAGAAGCACCTGGCTCCTGGCTTCAGATCAGCGCGGTGCGCCGGCCGTGGTGGCCATTGGAGGGTGAACCAACGGCAAAGGAAGACCTTTCTCTCTGTCTCTCTCTCACTGTCCACTCTGCCTGTCAAAAAAAAAAAAAAAAAAAGAATGAAAGGCCAAAGGTGTTTAGACTGGGCCAGCAGACTGGAAGAAATTCAGAGTGCCAAGCAAAGGAAGATCTGGGGCGAGATACGGCTGAGGAGAGAAAATACGTATAAAAAACCACTGTTAATGTTATTTCTCCTTCTGTGTCTTTGCAGAATCCGAGACTGTGTAACCTAATAAGGCATAGATGCAAAAAGTCACTCAATGTATCACACATCATAGCTATGCATTGACGCTGCTGTCCATGGAAAATAATACCTGCATCAGGGTCTGTGTCCTCGGTTCCCTTCCGGCACAGGCCATGGCTTGCTGCCTATTATCACACGCTCACACCTGAGCAGCTCTCGCTGTCAGAGGTCATTCTCTGAAGTCTATGCTCAGGAAGACACGCTGACCACAGAGCTGGGCTCGAAGCCCACGTCTCCCAGAGTCACTACACTGGGCCTCTACGTAGGTTAGGCCCAGACAGCCAGGCCAGGGGGAGGCCACGCCTGAACTGAACTCTCCAGGCCCACCGTGTAAGCTCCTGCCGTCACAACACAGTTCCTCGCAGAGAGGCCGCCCCTTGCTCCCTCCGGAAGCTCTACCAGCAGCTGCCGCGGTGGACCGCTCAGCCCACAGCTGCTGCCGCGCTCCGGTCATTCCAGCGTCTCACGCGAGACTCAGGAGAGGCTGCTGCAATTGTTGGTGGGGGGGGGGGGGGGGGGGGGTCTTGACTGAGCTGTGTGGAATCGATCCCAAAGCAAAGTCTCCCAGAAAAGTATCCAAGTCAGGAAGAGATCGGGGCGGGGGGGCAGCATCGTGGTGCAGTGCATTAAACTGGCCTCTCATATGGGCACCGGATTGAGTCCCGGCTGCCCCACTTCCAATCAAGCTCCCTGCTAATAGCCTTGGAAAAGCAGTGGAAGATGGCCCAAGTAATTGGGCCCCTGCCACCCATGTGGGAGACCCAGAAGCAGCTCCTGGTTCCTGGCTTCGGCCTGGCCCAGCCCTGGCGTTCGTGGCCATCTGCAGAGTGAACCAGCAGATGGAAGACCTCTCTCTCTGTCTGTCTCTGTCTCTGTCTCTCCCTCTCTCTTTTAAATAAATAAATAAAATAAAAAAAGAAGAAGAAGTCAAGTGACAGAGTGCACCAAAGACTCACTGAGACAAAACAGGAATTTCTTTTCAAAGAGTCAGTTCTTTCGAAGGCAAAGAGAACGTAAAGCAGTCGAGAGTCATCTCCAAGAGTTAAGGTATCCCTTTGTCTAAAAAGGAAAACATGGAAGCTAATTGTTTTTCCCTAAATGAAGGTGCTGCAAAGCATGTCCCTGTATGAGTTGCCCCAAGCAATGTGCTGTGACCCTGAAGTTCATTTCTCAAATCAGCCCACCCAGCGCACGCCATGGCCCAGACACAGCCCTTCGGAGCGCGTGCGTAAGATCCGATGGCCTCAGCCGGCGCCGTGGCTCAATAGGCTAATCCTCCACCTTGCGGCGCCGGCACACCGGGTTCTAGTCCCGGTTGGGGCGCCGGATTCTGTCCCGGTTGCCCCTCTTCCAGGCCAGCTCTCTGCTATGGCCAGGGAGTGCAGTGGAGGATGGCCCAGGTGCTCGGGCCCTGCACCCCATGGGAGACCAGGAAAAGCACCTGGCTCCTGGCTCCTGCCAGGATCAGCGCGGTGCGCCGGCTGCAGCGGCGGCCATTGGAGGGTGAACCAACGGCAAAGGAAGACCTTTCTCTCTCTGTCTCTCTCTCTCACTGTCCACTCTGCCTGTCAAAAAAAAAAAAAAAAAAAAAAAAAAAAGATCCGATGGCCTCAGGCACAGGCACAGAGCGGAGTCAAGTTAAGAACCTGAACAGACACTTGTCAGAGAGTTCGGGCATCTTTTCCTCTTTGGAGCACCAGCTACTGGTGTGTCCCTAAGTGATGGGCTGGGCAGCTTTCCGTGAAGAGCCCTGGGAAGGCAGGGTCAGAACCGAACCCCGATCCCCGGCGCTCGGGAAGGGATTCTGTTCCGTCTCCTGACCTCCTCAGCACAAGCACAAGCCCTCCGAGCCCCATCTTTCCTCGGCCGTCCACTGGCCTCTCCACTCCTCTTTATCGAGCCCTCTTGGAAGTCGGCTGCACTGTGAGAGCACTGATTCTGCAATCGCGAGGATGCCTTGGTTCCCTCCCTCCTGGTTTTAAGCGCTTTCTGTTTCCTTGGACTCCGCCTGAGTGCTGAGTTTACTGAGTTGTCTCTCAGTAAATACGCAGTCGATCCGGTGACAGGTTCGCGATTTACGAAGCTTGTTGTCCTGGAAGGACAGACAAAGACCGAGTGGTCCACGTAGGCGCTCTGAGGGCTTCCTGTGCTGGGAACACGGTCTCATTACCGCAGAGGAGAGGCACAGGCTGCGGAAGATGAGCTGTCCCATGTGTTGTGAATTCCTGTGAATTCCTGGCATCTAAAGGTACACGGAAGCTCAGGCTGACATTGATGCAAGCGGAACACTGCTTACCTCGGGTACAAGGCTTGGAGAGGGTGGACGCAGAACTTCCGGCGGCTTGTCTTTTCCAGACACGTTCAGAGTTTGGCAAAAGAAGGTGCCAGGGAAAGCCCCATTAGAATCTGTGCTGGGTTTGCCTCAGAGACAGGAATTCACCCCCAGTCTCTCTCGACAGTGAGATTACAGCTCCCGAGGGCTGTGCTCAATGCCAGATTCCAGTTTTGATCTCTCGATCCCTGTTCAACACCTCCAGTGAGTCATTCTTATCTGTTGGGTAGGACTCAGAAGCTGCGTTGTGTTATCTTTCATGGCTGGATTCCAGTTTGGAAAAGGAAATCCAACCGTAAAAGGCATCTGGGGAAAACTGTGGACGCTGGAATATGAACCAGGCATAGGCGATATTAGGAAGCTATTATTCCTTTTGCTGGATGTGATCATGGCAATGCAGAGTCATAGGTCTATTGGTGTGTTTAAGGAGAAAGGGCCACGCAGCCTGCACTTAACACTGAGGTGGTTCACAACAATCGGATGTCTTCAACAGGCAGACGGACAGGAAGCGAGAAAGATGAAGTGAATGCGGCAGAAAGCCACACTTGTTGGATCTTGAATTATGGGAGCTCCCTGTTATCTTCAGGAGTATAGGAACAGCCACTTTCCTCCAACCATTTTTCATCTTTCACACAATTGGAACTGTGCAAACGTATGGATCTCGTGCTAAAGAACAACCAGGAAAGTATGAACCTTGACTCTCAATCCCAACCCACATGGGACAACTCTGACCACGTGGCGCTCTACCAGGGCGATGTAGCTGGAGAGTGGCATTTTGTTGTTTTTGAATCTGAATGGTGGGTCTATGGGTTTATTGTACTTTTCTTTCCTTTTTTTTTTTTGTGTAGAATTTATCATAAAACAATGATATAGCAGTTTCTGGAAGAGTTAAACACAGATACCTCTTCGGAGCACCTGCCCAAAGCACAGACTCCAGTGTGCACACCCATGTTTGCAGGCGTTGTTCACAACACCAGGAGTGGAAACAAGCCAGGAGTCCGCTATACACGCACAGAGTGGAACAGCACGCATCCGTTAACAGCAGGGACTTCCGACACGTGCCACAACCCCAGGACTCCGCGGGGGGAAACAGACGGGCACAGAAGGACGGACTCTGTATGGGGCCGCTACCATGAAGGACCGAGAGCAGCCCGGTTCGCAGAAACAGTCACTCCCAGGGGCTCGGAGAGGGACAAGCGGGGAGTGGTCAGTTAACAGGGTCAGGGCTTCAGTTCTGCCAGAGAAGAAAGCTCCGGAGACGGCGGCTGGTGATGGACACACAACGGCTGAACGCGCCCTTGCAGGCAGTTAAAGTGGAAAGTTGTGTGCGATGGATATTTTATCACAATAAAACAGTCGTAGTGAAACTTGAAAGAAAGCAGCCACACACACAAACATGAAGGCTGAGCCTGCCTCTCCTGGGGAGTGGCTCCTGCCCCGCCTCCTTGCCCTCGCCGCCTGCTGCTCCCCCCATCTGAATCCCACCCCCCACCTGTCAAATCCCGCACACAAGCTGCCTGCTTTTGGACGCCCTCTTCAAGTCTCCCGACCAGAGTGATTCTTCTCCATAAGTGTTCGTTCGCTCTTAAGTACAAGATCCGTGTTCAGATCCTGGCCAAGGCTGCGCATGGAATTCACGGAGATTCCCTTCGGAAGTAGAGGGGGCATAGGTTGTCTTCCAAGGAAACATGCACATTAGAGAGGCTGTGGGTAGCACAGGATTGAGAGCTGAAGGCCCCAAGTGATCCCTGCCCTCAATCCCAACCTCTACGTTAAACTCCTAACCCGATGTCATCTCGGAATGGGCCAGGCATTTTAAGAATTCCAGGCTTTGAGAGCCCAAAGGCAAGGCAGGCCACACTGTAGAATGCAGGATGCAGGCTGGTACTGCGACTCAGTAGGTTACGCTGCCACCTGCAATGCCGTCATCCCCAGACACTCATCCAGGCTCTGGTGTTACCTCCAATCCGGCTCCCTGCTAATGCGCCCGGGAAAGCAGCGGAGGATGGCCCAGTTGCTGGGACCCCTGTACCCACATGGGAGACCTGGATGAAGCTCTGGGCTTCAGCCTGGCCCAGCCCTGACTGTTGCCGCCATCTGGGGAATGAACCAGTGGATGGAATCTCTCTCTGTCTCTCTCTCTCTGTCTCTCCCTCTTTAACTCTGCATTTCAAATAAATACAATGAATCTTTTTTTTTAACTTTTATTTAATGAATATATATTTCCAAAGTACAGAATATGGATTACAATGGCTTCCCCCCCCCCCATAACGTCCCTCCAACCCGCAACCCTCCCCTTATCCACTCCCTCTCCCCTTCCACAATGAATCTGTTTAAAAAATGGGATGCCAGCCAGCCCCTGTAAAGTCTGGTTCTGAGGCTGGTCTCACTGGAGACGGCAATTTCACTAACAAGTCAAACTGATCCGATCCTGAGTGGGAGCTGATCTCTCCAGAACCTTGGCAGC